CCATATTTCCAAGCCCCAGGAGCACAAAAATGGTAAGACCCAGTGACTACCCTTGAGGCGTGCACAGTGCACTGAGGATGGTAGACTCAAAAAGAATTGCTTTACACTGAGTGGATGTCACAGCTGTGTTGGAACCGGGGTAATAATGGAACATTACTGGAACAAATGATGTCACCATCACTTCTCCTTGAGGTCACGCTCACAGGTTCAGGAGAGATACCATGAAGGGCAGTTGACTTGAAGCTGGAACGAGGGTCGGACATCTTCCAGGCAGGCAGAAAGTGTGCAGTCATGTAGACTTGGTGTTGGCATGGCTCATACAAGAAACATGGAGGAGGCTCATAGGGCCGGCTGGAGTTGGGTCAGTAGGACTGAGGGGTGGGAGAAAGTGGTGAGGGCAGAAAGGGGAGGCGTCCAGGATGGGTTCTATGGCTTTTAGCCTAAGTCTGCCCCCACATCCTATCAGAGTAATCATAGTCACTTAACTTTTGGTCAGGTCAAAGCAAGGTTCTCACTGGGAAACCAGTTGGCAGCCTGACCAGAAGTGATGGCAGGACCCTGGGGGTGGGGCATGGGCCTGTGGCCAGACTGCCTGTGGAGGGGCCCCAGGAGACTTCCTGGTGGGGAGGGGCATATTGAACTGGGGCTTGTAGATTTTGCCTTGGGAGGCAGAGAGAGATGGAGGGGGGAAGTGTGGGTTGGAAAGAAGATGTGTCAGATAGAAGGAAAACCCCATGGTGGTACGGGTGCACAGAGATAGCTGGTGGGCTCTGGGGAGCCGCAGAAGGTGGCTGGAGCAAAAACACTTGGTGGTGATGGTCTGTGTGTGTGTGTGTGTGTGTGTGTGTGTGTGTGTGTGTCGGAAGGGAGTGGGAAGCAGACAGCCTGTAAAGGTAGGCTCAGTCAATGTAATACCAAAATTAGGAGTTCGGCCTGTGCCCCAGGAAGGCGGGGGAAAAGAAGGAGGGAGGTTTTGATTATGGGAGTCATGTCATCAGATCTATACTTAAGAATCATCACTCTGCTTTGGAAACATAAATGCTGGGAATTTTGGTAAACTTAAAAAAAAAAAGATTAAGAATTAGCAGTTAAGCATAAAAGATAAAGAAATGCCTGTGACCTGCCAGTTGTCTTTGTGCTCTCCTTGCTGGGGTCCTTGTGGGCTAGGGTTTTCTTTGCGGGGTTTGTCAGTAGGGTGGCAGGTATGGTTGCCCCTAACACCGGGCAGGTCAGGGTGGAATTAGGGCTTCGTGACCAGCTGAAAGGCTGGTAGGGCCTGCTTCCCGATTAAATTGTTTGTGTCACGCCGGGTGATGAATGCCTGTGATGTTGGGTATAGCATTTCCATCAAGACACCTTTATAGGATTTCATTCTTTGACTTAAGAAGTGAAATACCTTATAGTCCGACCACTTAGGCCCTTGCTTTGACTGGGTTGGTTAAGTTTTAGGGTTTGGACTGGATTGTAGGGATTGAAATATACACACAGTAGCCAGGCAAGTTCTGCCTCCTTGAGGTCACACAAACTTGTCCATAACTTTATATAATTTGTACCTGGATGAAGACTATAGTTTTGGGGGCTGTGCCCAGTAAAGTCCTAGTAAGGTAAGGGTCATCTGAGTTTTCTCTGATATGACAGGTTGGCTTGTTTCACTGGAAACATGAACGTTTAGATTGGGTTAGCCTTCTTACCTCTAGTTCCCCAGGCACCCTCCAAGAGAGAGGTCAGACATGGCGGCTCCACAATCACCCAACGTTGTGTATGCTCACCTTGTTCCTTTGTAGGTGTGGAGTCAAAGGCAGTGTTTCAGAGGAGACTTACTTATAAAATTGAGCCTTGATGATGAAAATACAAATGCCAAAATAGGAATTAAAATGGTCCCCAAGCCATGTCACCATTTCCAGGATAACTTCATTCTGACAAATGCATGTGAGGTAGCTTTGCTGTATTTCTGTGTGACACTGGCCAAGTCACTTCCCGTCTGTGTCTCATTCCTCATTTATAAAAATAGAGTTGTTGGACTAGATTTGTTTTAAGGCATTTTCTTGTTCTGACTGTGATTTTATGATGAACTTCTGAGCAACTGCTGCAGTGGTCAGTCCATAGAGACCCACCCACTCACCCCACAGCTGTCTAGGGAACCTCCATGGTGCACCGGGCCCGCTAGCAAGCACCAGCCAGTCTCATCTCTTTGTGTCCCTGTGATGAACTCAGTTTTTGTTGTTGTTGTTGTTGTTGTTTTTGTTTTTAAAAGATTTTATTTATTTGACAGAGATCACAAATAGGCAGAGAGGCAGGCAGAGAGAGAGGAGGAAGTAGGCTCCCTGCTGAGCAGAGAGCCTGATGCAGGGCTCAATGCCAGGACCCTGGGATCATGACCTGAGTGGAAGGCAGAGGCTTTAACCCACTGAGCCACCCAGGCACCCCTGAACTCAGTTTAATAGTGAAGTTCAGGTCCAGGAGTAGGGATGGCCGTGTCATTAACCAGTCGTTAATAGGTGATTCCATTTCTTCTTCAAAGCCATTGGCTTGGTGTTCACTTCTCCCTCCTCTCCCTTTGGTTCAGCTCCTCCTTTCCTCTGGGGCATCCTTGTACGTGGTTATGTCTCTACAAAGCTGCCCACTCTTTGGGCTTGATAGCCTCTTTCTGGGAACTAATAACAAGAATTGCTTCAGCACTGGCCATGCGCACTGGGGACTGACCCAGGAGAGGGGTCGCCAGATGCCAGAGGTGCTCCCTGTATTTGTGGATTCATTATCAATGTCAGACAGCCTGCCGTGTGAATGATGATGAATGTGCAGTGTTCTGCTGAGGGAATCCTGGACTCTCGGATTCACCCCTTGCCAATAGCCCGTTCTGCCGCTGTGTGGAGTCCCATCACCCGTGCTCCCATCTTCTCTAGTCTGGAACAGACCTTGAAGGAGTCAAGTATGTTTGGCAAAGGATCCTAGGAGACCTCATGTCCAGGTGATTTAAGAATGCAGACGTTTTTATTCCAAACAGATCAGGACAAGGTGGGCAGCTCCTACGGAAGCAGAGAGGCATTGGAGAGAGGGCCACCCCTGACGAACACATAGGTGCCCCCTAGGAAGTTTCAAATTAGTAATCTAGGTGGGGCTGACAGGGGCCACAGAAGAGAGATCCATCCTTGGTCTCTGTGTAGCTGTGTCAGTATCATGATAATCATAGGCCTGGCCACCAGTTGTCTTCATGACTTTGGCCAAGGCTCTTACCCAACTTGAGCTTCACTTCTCACCATTTGTAGACTGAGCAAGCTGAACTAGGGAGGTGATCTCATGGCGTCCTTGCGGGACCTCCTTTTTCAGTTCCTTGGCTGGACAGGCCCAGCCCTCTGGCCTTGCCAGCCTGGGATCCCCCTCATGGCCCCAAAGGTTATGGTGTGGATTCATGGTCAGCCTCAAAGGTAGTTTCCCAAACAGACCTTCCTCCTTGGACTGCCTCCTCCAGAGTGTCTAGGGAAGGTTGGAGGTAGGGTAAAAACCAGGGTGGGGGGGGGGGGGCGCGGTACTCTTCCTAGATCACTTTTCTTTCATTTGGAAGAGGGGGGGTTACCTCAGACTCCAAATCCAGATCCATATGGAGCTGGAGATTTGTTCCCCAGCTAGTAGAAAAGCTTTCCTTCTGTGGCCCCATGAATTCTTCCAGAGACTTAAATGCCATTCCAAGTCTCAGGCCTTGAAATGAAGTCACCTTTCTCTGGCAGTGGTAGTTTTATCCTCTATACCCCCATCTATTATTGGGGCAAACACCAATTACGTTAAATGAGCTGATGCATGTACTCAGCATAATGCCTAGACAACTCATATTTTTGTGGCCTTCTGGTGTCTAGGCATTATACTGAGTTCATGTATCAGCTCATTTACTCCTCATGCCACCGGCGTGAAGTAGATTCTGCTTCCCCCCATTTTACAGATGAGGAAACTGAGGCTCACTTATAATTCCAGGGTGACATACCCTGCCAAGATCACACAGTGAGTAAGTGGCAGAGCTAAGATTTGTACTTGAGGCTTTGGGACTCCAGAGCCCAAAGGTTAACCACCAGGCAGCCACCTGCCAAGGGAGAAACACTGGCAGGGCACCACAATCACCTGGTGGATGTACTGTCCAGAGATGCTCCTCCTCCTGCTGGAGCTCACGCCACAGCCGTGAGAGTCACTCCCTGCACTTCATGGGGGAAGTAGCTGGGCGACAAGAAGAAGGGCGTAGTCGCTGCAGGCCTTTATTTCAGTGGCTCACGATTCAGGGGTAGGACATCAGCCACATTAGGGTGGACATAAGCCACCCTAATAGCACCATTTGTCATTATGACACAGGTTAGGTTGGGGGAAACTGGAGCTGGAATGGAAGAGTAGAATTCTGATTATTTTAGCAGTTGAAAGTGACATCACATCAGAGCCTCTACAGAATGGCACATTGAAGCTGGACCAAAATTGCTTCCAAATGTGTCCAGGGATCGTTTGCTACAGCTGTGATAAAGTCGTTTGGCTGTTTGGGGAGTTGTGCTTCTGTCCAAACCGCTGTCTGGGTTGTGTGTGTGTCAGCCCGCTGGGAAGGCTGCCCGTCAGCCCCGGAGGAGGGAGAGCTCTGGGGTGCTGTGCCTGGGTGCCCGGACATGCCGCACCCTGGGCCGGGGTGGAGGGGGTGGCTCTGGGGCGCTAGGGCGGCCGCTCCCTCGGTGTTTCTTTGAGTGCGCTGTGAATGTCTTTCCGTGTCACCGAGTCATGTTTTCCATTTTTTCTCATGGTTGCGTTGTTGTCCTTGGTCCGTCTGGTGGGTAGATCCGGGGTTTTCGGAGCAGACCCTCTTGTCCCTGTCAGCCCCTAGGCACAAACGGGAACACTCGCGAAGGCCTCCAGGATGCGCCTGGCTGTTTGACCAGCCCTGTTGCTGGTGGAGGGTTTTTCTCCAGCCAACTTGCAGGTGAGACCCACGGGGACCAGAGCTTCAGTGAACTCACTTCCACTCTTCTCCTCTTTAGGCAAAAGAAGGGGAGCGTGGCTCACAAACACTGGGTCGGACCCTCGAATCTGGTGAAGTGCAAGCCATGCCCCGTCGCACAGTCTGCCATGGTCTGCGGCTCTGACGGCCACACCTACACTTCCAAGGTCAGTCATCCCCGTTCTTTTTTCTTGTCATCAAGAGTATCCCGTGACTGAGTGTTCTCCCTAGTCTCTGTGCCAGCATGAGGGCCCGTGGCTCTCGGTGGGCTTTGGGCCTCGCCCTTGAGAGGCTGCTGCACGGGGAGTCTCTCTAGTCAAAGAGACAAATGTTACCTCCCGTGGAACTGCAGTGATCCAGGGCTGTGGGGAAAGGAGGGTTCTGAGGGTGGCATGTGATCCTGAAGTCAATCCCGGCAGGCTTCCTGGAGAAGGTGAGGTAGGAAGTGGTCCCAAAGGTTTGAGTCCTATAGCTGAGCCAATGGGTGTCTCTGGAGTTCGCTGTAAGTTGTGGCCACCCATCTCCCACAGCTCAAGCTGCAGTGCTTCTCTCTCTCCTCCTGTTGTCTCCGTGAGGCTCACTTGCACATAGATTCTGGGGCTGAAGACAGTGGCCATCAGCAGCACCCTGGCTGCCTGTGGCCACACTACCATGTGGTTGTTGGGGCAGGTCCCATCTTGGTCCTTCCCCCTCTGCACACACAGGTGACAGCGTCTGTTCCTATGAGCCCCTCACCGTCCTAACTTTTACACCATGGAGATCCCCCAGGGCTGTGGGGGAGGGCGGCTTACTGCTTGCTGTCCTCAAAGGCTTCTTTGGGTTATTTCAACGCTGTGCCATGTTTTCCTGCTGATTCTCTGTTACACAGATGATATATTTTTGCTCACTGAAAGCAGAATTGTATCCTCTCAGATTTTCACATTTTTCTAACTAAAAGGGATATGTTTAACAAAACAGGAAGCCAGAAGGTATGTCTAGCTTGTACTCAGGCCCCTGTAATCTGCTTTTAGGACCTCAATATTGTAATCACTCTTTGAGCGTTCGTTTCTTCTTTCAACACATATCCCCTGAGCCCACATTCTTATGTGCCAAAATCTGTTCCAGGTACTGCGGAAACTTAGAGTGGAAATAAAAAAAAGTTCACTCATCTTCATAGCCAGAGTTAGGAATCCCTACGTCCCCAACCTCAGACCTGCTCTGGGAATTAGAGCTTCTCTGCCCAGGGTCACAGTCAATAAATCCTGGTGAAAGAGCCCAGGTCGGCTCAGTATACCCACCCTGGCCCCTTCCCTTCCTTTCGCTTCCCTGATGAAATCTGTTTGAGATATTTGTAGTAGGAGGACTTGCTGTTGGTACCCTGCATACGTCTGGAATTGTGGGTTTGGGGGAGGGGGTCATGACTTTGTTCTGTCCCCTATTCCACAAAGGCAGATGAAACCAGCATTGTCTTCCACCTAAAGCCCAGCTTCTAGGGATGCGAACAGTCACCTGGAGATTCTGCTGAAATGCCCCTTGTGCTATAGCCGGTCTTGTGTGGGGACTGAGTTTCTGCATTTCTCACAAGTTCCCAGGTGGTGTTCATGCTGCTGGTGGTTGGACCACACTAGGCGGTGAGGACTTTGGTTTTTAGAGACCCCTCCTGATAGATCTCATTACCTCCCATCTGCCCTTCCCCTGCCTCCAAAGGCCATTTCTGCATGACGGAAGAGGTGGGGAGGATTCTGTAATACAGGTCTGTTTGTGTGTCTCGCCCTCTTAAAATGCTTGGGTATCTTTCCTCTTCCTGCTGAAACTAAGCCCAGACCTGTTCTCGTTACTAACAGAGCCTTCCAGAGTCAGCTGCCTTCCTACTCCGTTGTCACTCCTTACAGAAATCTCCTTCCTTTCACTGGTTCAGCACGTAGTTTGTGAACGCTTCTAGCTGTTCTAGGCCCTGTGCAGAACATGGCAGTGGAGAACAGGGTAGGCACCGTCCCAGCCCACTTGCAGATTGCAGTCTGGTTGGGCAGACAGAAATAAGTAAGTAACCAAACAGATAGATCTGTGCTTTGAAATTTGGCAAGTGTTACAATGGGGCTGGATGAGAGAGAGAGAGAGAGAGAGAGAAAGGGGGGGGTGCTTTGTAGGGGATGGTGAAGGAAGGCCTTCCTCAAGAGGTATCCTTTAATTAAGAGTGAAGGGTAGAATGATCTAGACAGAGAATAGCTTGGGCCAAGGCTCTAAAGCAGGTTGGTGTGTGTGAAGAAGGAAGAGAATGCCTGCCTGGCTGTCACATTGGGGGACTGGGGGAGAGGGAAGGCGAGAGAACAGTCTAAGAGGAGATCTGTAGCTGAGGCTGGAAGGTGATGGTGCCATCCGGCAGTGCCTGGCTTGGGGGACACTTGTTACTGTAGCAGCCACCTTCTCTGTGTCTGCCTCAAGAATGTGAAGCCGCAGAGACAGAAACAGTGCCTGTCCCCACCTCCACCAGGCACGGGACACTGTGCGTGGTGGGTGCTCAGTGAGTATCACGGACGAGAGGGGAGCCTCCAAGGACTCGGGCTGAGACAGAATGGCTACAACCCGGTCTGTGTAACCCATCTGGGCTCGGGAGTGAATGGATTGCCAAGAGCTTAGTGATGGAGAAGAATAAGCTGTCCCCTCCCTGGGCCAAGTCGCTTAGCTAAACAGCCAGCCCAGGGCTCCAGCAGAGCATCACAGGCTCCTTGCAGTGCTTCTCTCTTTCTGAAGATCCAGTTTGCACTGTTCCAGATTATTCCCTCCAGCTCTGGAGCAAACGATCTGATCCTCGAGCCTGAGATTGGAGGCAGGCCCTGAAATGTCAGTGGGTGACCGGGGCTGTTGGGACAAGTGGCGTGTTGCACATCAGAACCAGCCAAAACCTGCCCGCTTGCCTCTGTCTCTCATTCGCGAAAGGAGCTTCAAGTGCCGGCCCCCTGTGACCCTCAAGCTACAAGGAGCGGTAGTAACCTGTCAGCCGTGGCTTGAAGTGCTGTCAGTTGCTCAGGGAATGTCTCTGGAAATGCTTGCTGGTCACAGCCCCCTGCAGTCTGGGCCGGAGAGGCTTTTTGATAGAGAAGGTTGCCTCCTCACCGGTACTGATAAATAGCTTGTCTGTGAGGCAGGATCGGAGTTTGGAAGATTCCTCAGAAGAAGAGTGACTTCCAGATACTGCTGGGCCCTCAAAGCCTTCATTGGCCTCAGCCCGCTGTGGCAGTGGTGTCCTTGAATTCCAGCACCAGCTGAAAGAGAGTCCTCAGTTTCCCAGACCTGCTCCGCTGTCTTTTCTGGAAGCAAATGAAGAGACCTAAAGCATTCTTACTAGGAGCCGTAGTTTCATTCTCCCCATTCTCCATATGGGGTATACTGAGGCCTGCAAAGCCATGGACAGCAGCGGAGTTCGAAACCCAAGGTTGCCTGCCTCCATGTCTGTAATCAGCTGCCTCTATCTGAAGTTAAAACAAAGGGAAGGAGTCAGGGAGGGGTAGCACTGCAGTGGAAAATGGTGTGGGAATTAGTCTTTGGCATTAGACCAATAGTTTTCTACCTTATTTGAACTTCTGTAGCATTGGCATTTTCCTTGTCCTGAAGAAACAAATCAAATAGTCCGTCAATAGCCGCGTGTTGACTGCTTTAAGATCTCTGACCCTGACGATGGTTCTAAACTCCAGTGGCATTCAGCAAGGCTTCCTTCCAAGGGGGATGTTCCAGTCTGGTCTGGTTTACTACTCGAAGTATTTGAATTATTGCTCCCAATGTATGGCCACCTTTTAACGGAGATTTAGCAGGACATTTTAGTCTTATAGACAAAGCTGTTGGAGGCCCATGAGTAGATGGTCATTTAATAAGAGTGAATGTGCATTCATGAACTCCATCCCCTAGAATTATGGCCTTTTCTGAGGTCATTGGGGTCAGGAAACAAAGGACAGATGAGACCATGAAACATGTTTAACAGGAGGGATTTGATATCTTAGGTCAAATTCACAGAAATTAATGTTGGCAAAATACATTGCTGCTTTGGTCCCCATCATCATCAGAGAAACCCACACCCCCTAGTAAATGATCACAGTACTCCATGGGGAGTGTTTGCTCTCTCCTGCATGGATATGAAGACTATGGGATACACTGTCAGGAGGAAGGAGGAGCCCACATGTCAGCTCTGCTATGGCTGCTGGGTGTCTGTCTTCAGGTGACATTGTGTGAGCTTTCCTTCTGCTCCTACACCCATAACGGTCAGACAGGCGTAGAACTTAGGAGCAGCCCCCATCTGTGGCAGAGCTTCCCGTGTTCCAGCATTGGGGACACCACTCAGAGATTGATGCTGCCCTCTGGGATCAAAGATAAAGTGAACAAGAGTGCATAAAGCCTAGGTGAAAGGATATGAGATGTTTCTGGCAATAAATGTTTATTCAGACTCTGTACCCCTAAAAGAGAAGGAACAGAAAACCACTAGGGAGGACAGACACATTGAAGGCCAGCCATGCAGCTCATCTGAGAATCTGATACAGACCTTGTCCCTTGACATGGGTTTGAGACTGTATCACCCTAGTCATTTTGTGGCCCTTGATGTCACGTTCTCCCTGCCAGGAAAACTGAAGTAGTCTGGAAACTCAGTCACCATTTATTTTCTTTCATGCTGTGTGTCAAGCATTGTCCTACTTGCTGTGTTATGGCAAAGGGCAAAGCAGACAAAGTTTTCATGGAACTTGAAGGTAGGTGAATGGGAAAGCAGTCACCTTCTGTTAGCAGAGATGGTCAGCTGAGGGACATCCTGGGTGCGGCAGGTCACAGAGTGAGGCTGCCTCCACTAGTTTGAAGGTGTGAATGGATCTTCATAGTGGAAGTGATGGTCCCACTGAGAGCTTAAGGCCGGAAGGAGTCAGCCAGAATAAGAGTGGTGTGGGGTCAGCTCATCCATCGGATGGGAGTGGGGGTGGAAGAGAGAGATGAAGGACAGTATGGCCCCTTGGGGAGCTGGTGACAGTGTCAGTATGATCATAAGTGGACCAGGGACAGAGGCTTAGCTACAAAAATGAGGCTGGAAAGTAATCAGCGGCCATTTCTTCAGGGCCTTGAAGGCCATGTGAGGGGGCTGGAGTTTGCCCTGTCGGCCCTGGGGATCCTGTTGAGGGTTTCTGGTTTCAGATTCGCTTACGCTGGCTGAAGG